ATTCTTTCCATAATTTGGTGCCTTATTGGGTTCGAAGTCTTGAATGAAATTAAAGAAGGAGAAATCTTCTTGAAATGGGGAAGAAGAAATTTTCATGTAAAAGCTTATAAATCAATGAAACTGTCTGAAGAATGAATTGGATGGAATTGAGATGTGAACACAAGAAAACTTGAATGGGAGATGGAACTAACAGTGGGCTGAATTCCAGGAACTCCTTCCATTTGAGATTGCACTAATTCTGCTCCTAATACCAGATTTTTCGCCCGATTTTTGTATAGCCCAGATTCACTTTGATTCCTTGGATTTGAATGGGTGGCTTCCGGCGATTATTCTCCGACACCAGTGTGGAGATAGTTCCAGATTTCTTCCCAATGGCTCTCAAGTCTCAACCATGGCACGCATTGTTGTTCCACTCCTTCACCTATGGCGGACCCTTGCTCTATTTTGCTACACCGACCGGTTTGGTGATCAATTTTTTTACCTAGCTTCTTTAGCCTCAGATCAAAACCAGCCAAACATAATAACGAGATTACCCTAACAATGGTAAGGGCCGTCCTGGCTGCTGCACCAAGAAATGTCAATCTTCCACATAAAAGGATCCCACATCGGAATCCTACAGAGGAAGCACAAGAAATTATGTATATAAATAAATGGGCTAACAAGAGCTAAATGTGCTTCCTGGGCCTGCCAATTGGTGGGTTGGAAGTTGGAAAATTTATAATTAAAAGATAGAAGAAAAATTAAAAATATATATAATTAAAGGAAATTCGCGCCTTTGCATGCATTTCAGTGGTCAACACCTGCGTTGACCGCATTTTTACACGCATACCCCAAAGGCGAGGCGTTTGGACCACGCATTGCTCCTAGGCGCGCATAGGCAGCGCGTTTTGCCGCCTTTTAGAACATTGATGAAAAGAAATCGTGTGTCACATAATTATGTAGAATTATAATTTATGTTAAATCATTTTTTGGATAAATATGTTATTTTAATGATGTACAAGAGATTGTATTAGATATCAAACCATAATATAAAGGACACGTAGTTATTACTCATAAACTCACTTATTTGAGGCTCATAGATTACATCTTGTGGAAATTACATGGAAGCTTACTTTCAAAAATTACAATTCAAAAATCAAATTTAAAGTTTGTTTATACAAAAATCAGATAATAATATAATTTTTAAATATTATTAATAATCTTATAAAAATAATTTAATCCACGTAACCACCCCACCCCACCCCTCTCCAATCCAACCCAAACCCTAACTTTAACCATAAATCATTTTTCATATTTATTCTCTTTATCTATCATCTTCGTTTTCTCTCTTCTACCGCCATCGAGAGACCCACTATTGTCACATAGCAGGCAATGACACACAGTAGCAGCGCCACATGAAGCCACAATAGCAACGTCGCACTCAACGGGCGACGACAGATCGCTGTGTGCGACGTTGCTACAGTAACTGCGAGCGGTGTTGTGCGGTGCCTCGCGCATGACACACACGGATTACAGCAGCTTCGCCGTTGTGGACTATAGTCTGTTGTGGATTTGATAGAGCGGTGGTAGTGATGCAGTGGTGACGACGACGACGACGAATTTGGGGATTTTTTGGTGAGTGTAGTGGTTGTGGTGTGATGGAGATGGTGGTTGTGATTTTTGGTACAGGAGGTGGTGCTGCTGCTTATGTTGGGCGTGACGTTGATGGTAAGACGATGGTGGCAGTGCGGGTGGCAGTGACGGTGACAGTGGTGGTGGTGGCGGCGTTGACACTAGTGGTGGTTTTGTAATCGAAAATGGTAGTTTGTTGGAGGTAGTGTAGACGGTTGCACAGTGACAATGGTGTTGCTGGGAGGTAATGGCGACGGTGTTGACGACAGTGCGACGGAGGCAATGGTGAGGTGGTGGTCACAAATTATTTGATTAATTGTGACAAATAAATAATATGTGATCTAAAAATTAATTTGTGACCAATAATTTGATAATTTTTTACCATGTAATAAATTGTAACTTATAAAATTTGTGATTTGTAACTTATAATTTTTTTTTATTTATGACCGATGAATAAATTGTGATCGATGAATTTTTTTTTATTTGTGGTCGTGAAATAATTTGTGACCAATTAATTTGATAATTGTGACCAAATTGTGTAAAATTGTGACATTAATATATTTAATTTATAAATTATTTATTTCATAAATAAAATCTAATTAATATCTGATTTTTGAAGTTTTAAACAAATACCTAATATGACCAGATTTATCAAAAACATTAAAGCTCGCCTAATTTCTCATAATCGAAAGTTAAATGCACTCTTTCACCTAATTTTCTATTAAGTGATTGATTGGGTAGAATTGTTAGTAACTATAAATAGTAGAACTAGTTAATCCCACAAAATATGTAAATAATAAATATAAATATATTATTAAAATTGATGTTTGACTTTTATAGAGTATTATCAGTAGGCTAAAACTCGATAGAAGGCCATTGTATCGTTTGCTTATAAGCATTGTTCTAAAAAGCCTTCTATGCGCGAGACATGGGTAAAGCACTTTGTCTTGAAAATAAGCGTGCACCTTATTAAAAACTTTGAATTTTTAAATGACTTTATCTATATAAAAGTAAAAAATGACTTTATCTGATAAATATTTAGATAAGATTTAAGGTACAATACTATCTATATTATATAATTATGATTTTGAGACTTATCATTTTGTTAGCAACTTCGAAATTATATATGAAGTTCGTATAAATTTATTAAGTATGATTTGTCTAGTTGAAATTTAAAACCATGAAAAATAGTCAGCTTTTACATTTCGAAAACTTAAAAGTTATATTTAATTAATTGTAGGAATTATTAAGTAAATATATAGTATTTTATGATTTTAGATATTTGATATGTGTTATTTTAATTATTAAATAATTTTTAGAATAAATAAATATTTAATATCTATAGTATATTAAATTTCACTTCAAGTGAAAATCATTTTTTGGACGATTTTAACCCTACTACAATTCAATTATTTTAATAATACTTTATTTTTCATTTTTCAATAAGTAATAAATACTACAAAATCTTTATCATGTATGAATTCTGTGTTATTGATTTTCAATTAGTTAACATTTACATTAATTTAGACTCAATAAATATTGATTTGATAAATTTAATTTACATGAATCTAGAGTTATTATAAATGAATTTATTTTTATTCATGTATTTAGGAATTTTAATAGATGTTTAAATTTACGTATTAAAAATTAATTCTTATACACCAAATGTAGTATAAAAAGGTTGTTAATTTGTAATATTTCATCATCACAGAAAAATTAAATCATAGAAATTGAAATTTGAGAGTACAATTTTATACTCTTAAATTTATATATTAAATTTTATTTTCTTTAATTCCCTCGAGACTTGTCAAATCCTCTCATCAAATTGATCTCAAATACGACTTTCACAATACTTATAAATTATTTCAAAATAACGTAAAATGCACATTCAACTTTGACTGGTATTAATTAAGGGAATAGTTCACAAA